TGAGTGGGGCCCTGAGTGATCACTGCTAAGTGGTGGCTGAATTGACTGTGTGTGCTTGGAGCTCTTGGAAGGAGACAGGCTGGCTGGGGTGGAGGCAGGTTCAGTGACGCCACAGTCCGGGTGGGGAGGAGGAGAGAGCCTGCCTTCCACACCCATTCCCGAACGAGAAACCAGCTCGTGCGAGGCCCCAGGGTGCCCATCTGCGGCTGGGTCCACTTTCCCGGATCCTCATGGCCCCATCTGGCTGCCCACAGCCCTGCCAAGGCCTGGCCGGCCAAGGTGAGCTGAGGACACGCCAGCCTCAAGTTGGGCCTCCGGAGGTTCTCAGGGAACCAGCACGGGCTGCCTGGAGCTTGGCACTGCATGTACCTGGGCTCCTTTCATCCCCACAAAACACCCCAGCCATGTGCTATTATTAGCACCCCATTCTCCAGAGGAAGCTGTCGAGGCTCAGAGAAGGGACTTGCCCAAGGTCACACAGGGACAGCATCCTGCCACAGGCTCTAAGACCTGGGCTCGGGTTATAAGGGTTCCACATGCTTTCACTCAGGTAATCAAGCCAGGAGGGACTGTTACTATTTTTATTGAACAGATGAGGAAACCAAGGCACAGAGAGGTTAAGTAACTTGCCCAACATCACACAGCCAGTAAGTGGCAAAGCCAGGATTCAGTCTCAGGCAGTGAGGCTGCAGAGAGTTTACCCATTTTGTTCTCCAGCTTGATGACGGGGGTGACGAGGAGGAAGTGGGAATGATGTCTCCCCGCAGGACACAGGGCATTAGAGTTTGCAAAGCTTTGCCCACTCAGCCTCTCATCTGGCCTTCAGCTTGTGGGAGAGGCAGAGAGCAGGATTCCATTTTGCAGAGGAAAACATTAAGGCCAGGGGAAGGCAGGGGCTGGCGCAAGGTCACCCAGCAAGTTGCAGTTGCAGGGAGGGGGCTTAGACCCAGGCCGGGGCCCTCTGTCGCTCCCTGACTGGCCAGACACGTTGAGCTTGGTGCTTCTGAGGAAACTGGCTTGTGACGTTCAGTGCAGGTGGGCAGTTCTGGCAAGAGTCCCTCTGTTGCCCATGGCTTGGGTGGGAGCCTCAGTTTTCCCATGTGTGAAATAGACCAGCTGGAGCCACTGGGTGCCGCGTGGAGCCCTTCCGGCCTGAATTGCAGCCTCGCTCCGAGAGGCGCTGGGGGAGCTGTTTCTGCTTGTCCTGCTGCTTCCCGCTTGATGCAGCTGTGTTTCTCTGCCGGGGCATTTTCCCACCTGCTTCCTCGGCACAGCTGCCAGCCACAGGTGCTGGGGAGAGAAGCCCAGAGTGTCTCAGAGGGACGAGGTTGGGGCCTGCATCATGTCTTCCTCGCCATGCCACTCCCGTGAACGCTGAGTCTACTCCGCCTCCTAGCAGAGAAGCCTGCCATCTGTCTGTTTGTCCGTCTCCCTGCCTCCCTGGCCAAACTGTGAAATCCTTGAGGGCCAAGGTCACAAGCAAAGATCAGATCCTGATATGTAGTAAACTCCCCGGTCCTAGAAACAGTCAAGGAGACACTGGAGGAGATATTGAGCTGGAGAGAATGAGGGGAGCCCAGTGAGGTGGTCTCAGGCCCCTTCCAGCTCTTGGTCTTAGGGTGCTAAGACCCCATGGCTGGGAAGGAGCAAGTGACTCTGTCCACCTTGGGTCACCAATATAGAAGAAAGAAGCATGAAACCAAGATATAGTGAGGATGGGTCTACACAGTGAGGATGGGTCCACACAGTGAGGATGGATCACAGCTGAGGGTGGATCAACTCAGAGACAGACTAGAGGCTGGTGGTCTCACTGCATGGGCTATGCTGATCACCACCATCGGCAAGCCTCCATGGGGAGCCAGGTCCCCGCACATGTGCCCGTGATGCTGGGAATGTTGAGGGGTGGAGGTGTCCTCTGAGAAGTTTGCTTGCTCAGTGGCTCCGAAGCTGACCCTCCTGGCGCTGTCTGACACCTGATCCTTCTCACCAGTTTAAACCTGGCCTTGGCTGTGGTTCTAGCCCAGCTCAGTCTCCTCTAGTTACCTCACCCCACTGCAAATACTAGCAAGGCAAGGCTATCATCCCCCTTTGACAGATGAGGAAAACTGAGGCCCTGTAGGGCACACATGTGTGCGGTGGTCACAGACCCAGCCATGGGGTCTCAGCACCCTAAAGCCAAGCGTGGCCTTCCTCTCATGGAGTGACGTCTTCCTGGGGAGACACACCCAGGATTTGTGGGAATGTGTTATGGCACCCTAGGAAATGGACACAGCCCCAGACTTAGTGAGTAAAGCAACAGGAGTTCATTATATCTCACACTTCCATGAATGGCTGGGCTCAGCTGGGCGGTTCTTCTGTCCACATGGAATCTTCTGGGGTCACGTGTGTTGGTGGCAGTCAGCTGGGGGCTGGGTTGGCATCTCACCAACGTGACTGCTGCTTGGTGGTAGATGTTGCCTGTAGTGCCTCAGTTCTCCTCCATGTGGCCTGGCTGGCAGGATAGAATAGACTTCTCTACATGAGCTGGTTTCCAAGAGGACAGAAACAGAGGCTACAAGGCCCCTTAAGGCCAAGGCATGGAAGTCCCAGAAAAGGAATACCCACTGCATTCTATCGGGCAAAGCAAGTCACAGGACCATCTCAGATTCAGAAAAACCAAAACCAAACTCACTGCCATCAAGTTGAGTTTCTGAGGTGGTAAATCTTTATAGAAGTAGATTGCCCCATCTTCCTTCTGCAGAGTTGCTGGTGGGTTTGAACCATCAACCTTCTGGTTAGTAGTCAAATGCCTTAGGCACTGCACCACCAGAGCTCCTCATCCCAGCTCCTTATCCTAGATTCAAAACCAAACCAAACCAAACCCACTGCCATCGAGTCAGTTCTGACTCATAGCGACCCCGATTGGCTTTCTGAGGCTGTACATCTTTACAGAAGTAGATTGTCCCATCTTCCTTCTGCAGAGTGGCTGGTGGATTTGAACTGCCAACCTTCTGGCTAGCAGTCAAATGCCTTAGACACTGCACCACCAGATTCAAGGGGAGGGGGAACAGGCTCCACCTCCTGCTGAGAGGTGTGACTAAGACACAGGGCAAAAGGGAAATCTTTGGAAGCGAGCTACTGCAGGGTGTGTGTGTGTGTGTGTGTGTTTGTGTCATCAGAGGCCTCTGCCAAGGGTCCCAGAGACATGCCTCCTGACAGTGGGGTTGTTAACGAGACAGGTAGGACTTGCTCCGCCTGAACTGAGTGCCCCAAATGGTGCCAAGGAGCCCAGATCCACCTTAGCCATCAACTCACTGGGTGATCTTGGGACTGTCCCTTGTTCATGCCATGGTAATTTACTGAACACCTACTATGTGCCAGGCCCACAGCTAGACACTGGGGTGCCAGTGTGAACCAGGTCCCCATCCTTGTAGAACTTTTAGTCTAGTGGGAGAATAAAGAAAATAACTAGATAAACCCACCACAGAGCGTGTGAGTAGAAGAGAACACACGGAGCTGGGCTGGAGAGCCCCCGAGGGCTGGACGGAGTGGCCAGGCTGAGCTCCAGGGCAGAGACTTGGAGAACAAGAAGGCCTGCCCCGTTCTGGGCTTTAGTTTCCTCCTCTGAACATTGGGCTGTGGACTCTGGATCCTAGGGTTCCCCACAGAGACCCCAGGGGTACTGCAAAGGGGGGCTGAACAGGAGGTATCTAAAGCCAGAGACTAATAGACTTGAAGCTTCCAGCTGGCTCCCACAGTCCTATGTCCAAACCAGCATCCGGTTGTTTATTCTGGGACACTGCTCTCCCAGGAACCCTCTGGATCCTGAATGGCTCTGCCAGGCTCTGGGCACCAGGGAATCCAGCCCTCTGTCCAGGGACCCTCAGGACCCCATCACCCCAGGATACTTGGAGCTATTCCTTCACCTTTGATCTTGGTCCCGTCTGAGCAGGACAGCCCCAGAAACCAAGTGTCAGTTTCTCTTAAAGAGCTCACCTTCCCCTGCTGTGTGGCCCTAGGCAAGCCCCTTGCCCTCTCTGAGTCTCCTAGGGAAAGCCCTGCCTCTCCAGGTGAGCACCAAGGCAGGATGGTGGTGAGGGCAGAGTTCTCCAGAGCTGGGCTTCAGGTCAGCACAGGGTGGGTGGACCTTCCTCTAGGAGTACGGTCAAGACAAATGGCAGGCAAGGTCCAGCCTCCTGGCGACCCACAGGGGACCTGGCCCTGGTGCCCCCGCCCAATGATTCTGGAAGCTCTGAGCACAGGCTGCCCCTGTGAGGTTCAGGAGAGGGTCTGAGACAACAAGTTAGTTATCAGTAATTCTTTATTACTCTGCTCAACCCCAGGCTGGGCACTGGATGGGGTGGGGGTGGGACCAGAGAGGCCAACCACAATAAATCTGTCCCCCCAGCCTCAGTTTCCCCATCTGTCACATGCAAAGTATAGGCTTTCCGTACTTCATCTTTGGGATGCTGGGGGGATAGAAGATGACAAAATACAGAGTGCCCGGTGCTGAGGGCCACCCAGACATGGTCCTTGCCCTTGACAGGCTCCCTGCCTAGAAGGGCGCCTCAGTGCCCAGCCCACCATGTGCGGCTGGGGAGAAGGGCAGGTGGGCCATGGTCTGGGGACCAAGGGATGTCTGGAGGCTCTCAGCCATGCATCTGGTTTCACTGAGCTCCATCTTGGATGGGTATGACTGGTCTTATTGGGGGCCAAAGGCATCCACACCCCTACTTCTGGGCAGGCTTCTCAGACCCTCATGTGCATTGCAGTCCAAGGGGCCTCCAGGCCCAGAATACCTCAGGAGTCCCCTTCTTCTCAGTCCTGCTGAGGTCTCTGTCAGGAGCTAGTCTTGGGGTGGGAGGGCCGAGAGTCGGCACAGACCACACAGGGCAGAGGCCTTCTCTGGCCACGTGAAGGAGGCCGCCCCATTCAAAGTCCAGAAATGTTGGGAAGAGGTAGGTCAGCAGATAAGAGGTTTCCCTTGATGCAGCAGGGGCTCATCACTGCTCCCAACAACCTTAGCTGGTGATGTCCACTGGTGGTTCTGGGGAGGCTGTCCGGCTCAGGGTCACACTGGGGAAGCTGGAAACAAAACTCTCCCATCTTCTCCTTACCTGCTGGGAGACAGGTAGGAGATGAGGACTAATGGACCAGGTCCCACCGGGTGAGGGAGTGTTGGTCCACCTATAGCCACCAGGTGGTGCTAGACCCCAGAGAGAGAAGCACTACTCACTGTTGTTTTGTGCCATCGAGTTGGACCCCACTCATAGCGATCCCTCCTTGGGTTTCCCAGGCAGTATCAGTACAGAAGTAGATTGCCCCATCTTCCTTCCGAAGGCTAGTGGGTTTGAACCGCCAGCCTTCTGGTTAGCAGTCAAGTGCCTTAGGCACTACGTTACCAGAGCTCCTGCACTACTCACTGTTGTTGTTGTTGTTGTTATGTGCCATCGAGTCAAACCTGACTCATAGCGACCCCTCCTTGGGTTTCGGAGGCAGTATCACTACAGAAGTAGGATTGCCCAACCTTCCTTCCGAGGAGTGGCTGGTGGGTTTGAACCGCCAGCCCTCTGGTTAGCAGTCAAGTGTCTTATCCACTATGCTACCAGAGCTCCCTACTCACTAGCGGCCCTTATTCCTAGAGGAAGAAGGTGGGGGCAAGCAGGTCCCACCTAGGGGGCCCAGACCTCCCGGACCACTCATCCCAGGGGAGCTAAGACGGAAGGTGTAACTTTGAGGAGGTTGTACTGATCACCTTGTCTCCCGCTCCACCCAGCCTTCCACCAGGCTGCCAGATTAATCATCTCCAAGTAGCCCAACCATGTCACTCCCCTGCTCTACAGTCCTCTGTAACTCCCTAGGGTCCATGAGATAAACCGCAGACACCTTCAGGACCCTGTGAAATATGGGTCCTTTGTATACCTCTCCAGTCTCCTGTCTACGCAGCCCCTTGTCCTCTTGAACCTTCTGTCCTGGCTCTCCCTGCGCATTCCCATCCCCTCCTTCTAATATGGCTCTACCTTCCAGCCCTCAGCCGTACCTGGTGGTACTGCTTCAGCCACCGTTGGCTGCCTCCTCGCTGGGCTTGGATTAGCTCCTCTGTGTCACCTAGGCCTCCTGGCAGTCGCTCCTGACTTGGGTAGTCTAGTCCTTCTGTTCCTTTGTCAAGGCCCTGGGGCTTGGACTTCTCGCGCCCCTGTCTGAGGCTCAGTGCTCGGCGGAGCCGGCCCTCCTGGGGCCTCCTCCAGGGCTCCTGGAGCTTGCTGTAGGCTGGCCGGGGTCCTCGCAGGGACTGGCTGCGTGGCCCTGTCCCCATGGTCCTGGAGGCAGTGGATTTAGTACTGTACCAGCCCTTGACTCGGCCTCTGAGATGGTCCGCTGTCTCCACCCCTCTGACAGGAGCTGACTTGGGGCAAAGGTTGGCACTGCTGAGGTGGCCATCGTAAACCAAAGGGCGATCCACGTGGGCCGAGACATCCTGAGTCAACCTCCCCACCCCCAACCCCCCTTATAGGGGAAAGGGCTCAGAGCAGTGGACTGGAGCATAGTTCCTCTTCCTCCTCCAGGTGGTCCTCCCTGACCACCCCATGCCTGCAGAGCTTCTCTTCTGAACTCTGGAGGCCCCGGCCAAAACAGCCCACTGACGTTGAGCACACATGGCTACTGAAAAAAAGCAGACACGTGTGTTCAAGAAACAAGACAGCCAAAAAGATAAAAGGATGGATGGAAACGGGGAACCCCGGGAGGAAGGTGGGGGTACATTGAGGGGACTGCAACCAATGCTGTGAAATGAAATATGTATACGTTGTTGAATGAGATACTAATATGCTCTCTGAACTTTGACCCAATGCACAGTTAAACAAAAGAAACAGGACAGTCCAGGCTGGCAGTCAGGAGGCCTGGGGTTTGCCAGAGCCAGTGCTGACCCCAATGTGCCAGCCCAGCACAGAGGTCAAGAGCTTGGCCTCTGAGGACCGACTGCCCCCTCACTCGCAGCTGTGTGACCTTGGGCACGGGCACATTGCTTCTCCCCTCTGTGCCTCGGTTTCCTCATCTGTAACGGGAACCGATTTTCAGGTGATTGATTAGAGGCTTCAATGAGATACTTCTCAGGCTGTGCCCAGCCCAGCCAGCCCTCAGTGAACGTGAGTTCATATCTTAGGCAAGGATCTTCCCTTCCGGGCCGGTCTCCTCGCCTGTGAAATGGTGGTGGCTGGAAACAAAATGAACTCATGGGTGTGGACACCTTGGCGTAGTGCCTAAGGCATTTGATTGCTAACCAGAGGGCTGGTGGTTCAAACCCACCGGCCTGTCCTCGGAAGGAAGACTGGGCAATCTACTTCCATAGAGATACCGCCTTGGAAACCCAAGGAGGGGTTGCTATGAGTCAGATCCGATTCCGCGGCGGTGAGTTATGGGAGCTGAAAAAGGGATTGTGGGCAGGTCAGCAGGTTGCTTGGAGTCAGAGCATTTGAGGGCGTGAAGCGACCTCTTACGCCTGGTCCTTTTTTTTTTTTTTTTTAAGTAATTTTTTTTTAAAACACTTCTATTGGTTTTGGAGCTAAGCCCTTCACTTATTTCATTTCAGCCTCGTGTTAGTTCTATGAAGCAGGGAATATCCCGTTGTACTGGTCAGGAAACTAAGGCACAGAGAGATTAAGCGCCTGGCAGGAGAGAGTGCCCACAAAGTGGCAGAACCGGGGCCCCTCTGAGCCTGGTCAGTTTGGCTTTAACGCCCACGCTCAGCCCCTCTGCTCTCCTGCCGTCTCCTGGTTGGGCATCAGAGACACAGGCAGCCTTGGAAGGTGGGGGTCCTGCCTCCCTGTGTTTGGGCCCCTGCACAGGGTGTCCCTGCTCACCCCACCCCGCCCCATCCGTGGGGCCTGGCCTCACCTCCTTCCCTCTCTCCCAGAGTTCCTGGGCCTTCCTGGGGGGAGAGTCTTTGAAGTCTGCTGGCCCCAGCTCCCAGCCAGAGCGGGGCTAAAACAGTGCATTGTGAATGGGCTAAAGGGGCCCCAGCCTGTCCCCAGGGCCATCTGCACTCAAGCCTCTTTATCCCAACCCTAACCTCCCCCGTAGTGTTTAACACAGGGGCCAACCCTGACCCTGGTTAAAAAGCAACAAAACCCTTGCACAATCTTAATCCCGCTGGCCCCCGCATAAACACAGCTCAAAGCCTGCTCTTGAGAGTCGAGAGTCGGAGCCGGCAGCCTGCTGACTCATGAACTTTGTGGAGGTGACAGTGAATCATGGCTCTTGCATCAACGTCTCACTGCCCAGGACCTTCTTGCCAAGCACGTAAACTGAAGGCAATTTCCACAACCCTTTGCGGCCCAGGAGAGATAGCGTGTTCTCTTCCTTCCCTCCTTTCTCCTGCCTGCCGCCCTCACCTGGCAGGTCAAGACTCCGTCCAGTGGCTCCTCCTCCAGCCACTTGCCCTGACTGGGTGCAGGGGGCAGTCCCCTCTCCAACCCACCTAATGCTCACAGTGGTATGGACCACGTACATACGTCTTCCCCCACAGACTGGGCGCCCCTCAAAGGCTATGACAGCACTGTCTCCATCTCTGTGTCCCCAGGACCCGACACAGTAAATACTTACTGTTAAGTTTGGGAGATCTGGACTCAGCAGTGGGTCAATAGTAAAATTTGCGCCTTCCATTTGGGAGCTGTTGTTAGGTGCTGTGGAGTCGTCTCTGACTCACAGTGACCTCATGCCCAGCAGAACGAAACACTGCCCAGTCCTGTGCCAGCCCCATGATCCTGGCTCTCCCTGAGTCCATCGTGGCAGCCACTGTGCCAGTCCATCTCGTTGAGGGCCTTCCCCTTTTGCACCGACCCTCCACTTTACCAAGCATGAATCCTTCTCCAGGGAACGGTCCCTTCTGACAACATGATCAAAGTAGGTGAGACCAAGTCTGGCCATTCTCACTTCCAAGGAGCATTCTGGCTGCACTTCTTCCAGAACAGATTTGTTTGTTCTTTCATCAGTCCACGGTATTTTCTGCATTTTTCGCCAACACCACAACTCAAAAGCATCAACTCTTCTTCAGTCTTCCTTTTTCATTGTCCAGCTCACATACATATAAGGTGATTGAATATACCATGGCTCGTGGCAAGCGCATCTTTGTCTTCAAGGAAACACTTTTGCTCTTCAGCACTTGAAAGATGTCCTTTGCAGCAGATTTGCCCAATGCTATACGATGTCTAATATCTTGACTGCTGCTTCCATTGATGTTGGTTGTAGAACCAAGGAATATGAAGTCTTTGACAACTTCAATCTTTTCTCCATTTATCATGATGCTATTTATTGGTCCTGTTGTGAGGATTTTTGTTCTCTTTATATTGAGGTGTAATCAATACTGCAGACTGTAGTCTTCAATCTTCATCAGTAAGTGTTTCAAGTCATCCTCACTTTCAGCAAGCAAGATTGTGTCATCTGCATATTGCAGGTTGTTAATGAGTCTTCCTTCAATCCTGATGCCATGTTCTTCTTCATATAGTCCAGCTTCTCGGATTATTTGCTCAGCATACAGATTGAATAAGTATGGTGAAAGGATACAACCCTGACACACGCCCTTCTTCATTTTAAACCATGCAGTGACCACTTGTTCCATCTGAACAACAGCCTCCTGGTCTCTGTACAGGTTCTTCATGAGCACAATTAAGTGTTTGGGAATTCCCATTCTTCTCAATGTTATCCATAATTTGTCATGATCCACACAATTAAATGCCTTTGCATAGTCAGTAAAACACAGGTTAACATCCTTCTGGTATTCTTTCCTTTGAGCCAAGATCCATCTGACATCTGCAGTGATATCCCTTGTTCCATGTCCTCTTCTGAATCCAGCCTGCACCTCTGGAAGTTCTCTGTCAATATACTGCTGCAACCATTTTTTTTTTTTTTTTAATTAGGATTTGGGTGAAGATTTACAGAGTAAATTCACTTTTCATACAGCAGTTCACATATACTTTGTCTCATGTCATTGACCAAAATTTA